GAGGGAAGTCTTATATCCAGAAATGATGCCAGAAAAAAATATGTCTTTGTAAAACACTTTGAATGTGTAAAATGACTAATACAAGAGGAGGCGTTTTCAAATATTTCAGGTTGCTCTTTAGCAGTGTCAGGAGTTCCCCTCAGCTTTTCAGTGCTAGGGCAGGAGTGGGGGGCTGGAGGGGACCTCTCTGGGAAAGTGTCCAGCAGGCTCGTTCCCATTTTCCTCCCTCAACCCCAAGTAAAAATGTTGAAGATCAACCCACAGAGCGAGTTATGTGTCCTTCGCAGCCTGTCTTTGGCCACCACAGCTCCATGCAAGCCTGACATAGTTTCTTTTTAAGGTCTCACTATCCTGGAGGAGTCACCAAAGAGCCCTCAGGCAGAGGGGGGATCTCTCCTTTGCATGAGGGGGATTAGAGGTGCATGCCCAAAGTGGCTCCATCTCATCTGCCAGCAAGCTGCCAAAGGCTGCTGCAAGGGGCAGACGTGCTCCTGGGAAAAGCAAGTGGCTTATATAAAAGTTTCATCAATTTTAAATGACAGTGTTATCTTCTTAACAGGATGTTTTAGGTGTAACATGCTCTACATAAGCCTTTTAACTCGCCTTGTCAGGAACCATTCTGCCTTCTTCTGGTGCGCACAGCAAGCCTGTCGCTCAGCAGGCATTGAGGGGAATTGTCGGAGAGCCAAACGCAGAGAAGTGATGGGAAACCGTCCCGTTTTTCCCTTCCGTGATGGGATGAGTGATGTCTGGGGTCGCGTGCTGAGGCATTGCCAACTGTCTAATGCACAGCTGGGACTTCAGCTCCCCCAGGGCATCGCACGCCCTGAGCCCCCGGCCACCAAGGACGGCTGGGCTGGGAAACGAGGGGACCGGCCTGGAATCTGGAGTCTGGATAAATAACAGCTCCTGAATACTGAATTAGAGGATCCATTGCCATGGTGTTGAATCCTGGCATCAGAAGAAGGCAAGTTTCCAGCTGATCCTGTAGATCAAGCTGATGAACCTTTGCCTGCCCTGAGCTGGTGTGAGAAGCATGTGCTCTCTGTGCTGGCAGTTATATTGCTGTTTTTTCTCAAAGTGCTAGGATGCCAACTGATCTTTAAAACATGCTAATCTGATTTGACAGGGAAGGCCGTTTATTATTGCACAGTACCATAATAAATATAATTTCTGTTGGATAAGTTAGACTATAGGGTTTACTTGACTTCCTTACAAAAATGTACCAATAGCACAGGCCAAGGCTGCAAGGTCATGGAGGGAATATCCCATAACAGGAGCAGGGGATGGGATGCTAACCACCGTGCAGAAACGCATTGCAAGCTTCAGAGGTGTGCTGCCTTTTTAGAGGCATGTTTGAAACCACGTGGAAGAAGGGCGATCTTTCAGCCAGGTTGGACTGGACACGGGAGATGCACATTGCTCCAGTCTGTGCCAGGGATAACATCCCAAATAACATCCCTTCCTCCCCCTGCCTTTGGCCTGGGGCCTCCTTGGGTGGGTTGGTAACTGCTTCCAGAGTGCACATTGAGGGAGCAGGATGCTTGCCTGGGGTGTTATCCCACATCGAGGGAGGAGCATTGATCCAGGCTGGGGACAGACATTTTCCATTTCCCCCCAGAGCCCAGGCGGGAGCAAAGGCACGGACCTCCCCATTGCATCGCTGCCAGGGAGGGACGGGGTGCCAGGGGGTGGCTGGGTTTTGCCCAGCTCCCATGCCAGTGGGCAGGAGCAGCCTGGCACAGCCACCGCAGCAAAGATTTGTTGCCTTGAGGGGACTGTTTCTGCTGGCTGGCACTTTCCCAGGGAAGGCGAGCGCAGCACTGGCCATCGAGGCTGAGCCTTGAGAGGCAGGAGCCATGTGCTAAGCAGAGGTAACCGTGTGCTGGGGAGATTTATCTAATGTAAAGGGGAAGAGCAATATGCATGCACACTGCAGATGGGACTAGTACTGAGCGTGGATTTATAGGCAAAGAGTAAATAGGAACATAGGGAAATGCTTTCCCTTTCTCCATAAACTTTTCAATTTCAGAGAGGCCAGATACAATAAAATTATCTCGCAGATGGAGGTTTTATTGAATCTGGCCCATAAAGCTCCCATTATGGGGTTTACAACTGCCATTTACACAAATCCTGCTATAATAAAATACAGTGGTGTTTACAGCATTCCTGCAACTGCCATGGAATTACAGTGTGCACAAAACCTGACAAGTAAATCTTGGCTTATTGCACCAGGCACTCCACTGACAACATAAAGCAGCAAAATTTGGGGGGAAAAGAAGGAAAAATGCACAGGTAGGAGGAGAAGGTTGCTTGGGTAAGGGGAGTATTATGCCCGCTGCTTGGCCGAGATACCCCATGGAATTACACTGATTTACAGCCCTCACCCTGCTCTCCTTCAATGCAAAACGTAAATATGCTTCCAAAAGGTGCTGCATGGCCCCAGCACACAGCTGTGGGGACTGGCTGGGCGTTACTGGCAGCTGGGCTGTCCCAGCCGTTAGCAGCACCTGATCCAGCCTCGGCAGAGAGCCAAGCTCGGGTTGGCTGAGACCTTGCTGAAGTTTGGTATAAAAATCACCAGCTGGGTCCTTTTTCTTCTTCCACCTGCCTTATGGATTCTGCCTGGGTGTAGAGCGTGTGCTGAGCAAGGATGGCAGCGGGTGGGCAGCCTTGGTGGGTTGTGGCTGGAGAGGAAGGAGGCTGAAGGGTTTGCTGAATGAGCGGAAGCATCTGGAAAGCTTCTGTGAAGAGCTGAAGGGTGAGTAAAGGCTAGGTGTGGGTTATCTGAAGGACTGAGACTTTGGGTGCTTGAGTCTGCTGTCAAAGATGCTCTCAGGAGGGGAGAGGAGCAGCTGGGAGCTCTGGAGGAGATCCTTTCTGCAAAGGAATCGCCTGAGCTCTGTTTTGGGGCATGGCTCCATGGCCTTGGTGAATAATCGCGGTGGCACGCGTCTATACTGATTTCCAATACTTGATTAAAGGCGATGCATTTCCATTGTCTATCTTTCCTCTGCTTGTGCCCATGCTGAGAGGTGATGGCTCTTCACTTGGGGCACGTCTATCTCACACTGCAGCCCTTCAGTTCCCTCTTTATATATGGCTGCATTAATCTTCGTGCCTCCCCATGTATCCGCAAAACACTTGCATTTGCAACTCCATTAATTAGGGCAGAAAGCAGGTCAGTACTAATCTCTCCTGTTCTCCTTAATCTATTGTTTTCTGACGTCGCCTCACAAATTAAACTGAGATGATTAATACTGATTTTCAGTGCTGCACTACGTGTAAGGTCAAACTTCTTCTATTTACAGAGGAAGTGTCTCATTTAGGATGAAGGAACACTCTACAATGTTATAGTAGAAACACTTATTCCACGGCACATATTTAACACATCAATTCACAGTAAAGTTCAGCTTTTCTTTTTCTAGTGAGCTCAAGGGAAGAGTTGAGTCAGTCAAAGTTTTTTTTATCAACTTTCCTTATCATTGGGCACCTTTGCAAATCTGTCCTTGGTGATCTGCCCTGGTCACACTGGAATTAAGTAACCAGGTGGGAACATCCATTATTCTCCTGTTACTCTGTGCTCCATTGTGCTTGGCACATCACTTTGCAGCCGAGGAGAGTCTCCCTACCCCAGGGCCCAGGAGTCACCCCTGTAACCTGGCAGTGTCTGGGGAAAAGATGCACATGCAAAGCTGAAGTCCAAGGAGGCTGCTGCAGCGCCTGGCTTTGCTTGTACTGTGGATTGGGAGAGCCAAGAGTAATGGTGTGTTTTGCAGAGCCTTGCACAGCAAGGATAGATAGGTATATTTTTTTCTGTTTATTACATTTCCATATTGCTTACCGAATCATTCAGTCCTTTATTTTGCCATTCCATCTGCTTGCTGTATAATTTTTCAGTGTCCAAGGATGTTTTCTTCTCCAGATGTGCACACTGTTTGTTTCCTCTGGGTTGCTGACTTTTAGCTTGCTTAACTGTAACTGGGATCAGGTGTTTGCTTGTTTCCCATACCTGCCCTACTGTAGATCTCAGTTTAACTCTATTAAAGCTGATGGAGTTACTTCAGAGCTATAGTGCTACAATTAACAAATTAAATTGTCCTGTCCTTTAAATTAAATTACAACTGCATAAATAAACTGTCCCCACTTCTGCTCAGTGTCTTCCAAGGAAAACAGTGATGCTTTAAGACATCTGCCTGCTTCCAATTCCTCTGTTTGAACCCTTGATAGGAATATAAATGCTGATGTGCTTCTGGCCTGTGAACTCCCTTGTTCACCTTCTCCTGAAGCATTAAGATGTGATACGGGTTTGCCTCAGAACCACCCAAGCTCATTGTTCCTGTCTAGTTTGCCTGAGCTTATCCTAAGTCTTGATTTATTTTTTCCATTTTGCTGGGTGTCAGTTCACTGCACCTCTATATCCATCTTGGGCTATGATAGTAATTTGGGAAAAATAATAAAAAATGGTGTGTTTTCCAAGACATACATGAAATGGAAGAGGGGCAGCATGATTCTGTGTTTTGCCATGTAATGGGATGGTGGCCACATGAACTGTCTTGGTCTACTCTTACTACTCCTGGTTGCTTCTTATAATATAAATACTTCTGCCTGTGTTTTATCTGGGTTAAGACTGACTCATGCTCAGTCAATGTTCATCCTTCTCTCTTGTCCAAGCTTGCCCATCAGTGGGATGGTTTAAATAGCTGTTTGGGTTGTGAATCCCAAATGGGGTTCAAGACAGGAGGGGATGGCTGAGATGCCTGCCACAGACAAACGGTGATGTTTCTGTCTACGTGTGGCACTAGAGCTTCACGTTTTGTGTTTCTCTCCATTTGCTTTTGGGAAGGGTTCAGGAGTAACGTATGGCAATGCTTTGAATGCACGGAGTGATGGATAACCTGACCCGAGGGGGCCGGTGCTGCGGCGAGAGCTGCTGCATGGATCTGCTTGTGGTGGTTGTTGAAACGAAATAAAATAAAAATGTTGTTTGTTTTTGACAGCTTTTTGCAATCTTTGCATTTGCAACATGCGGTGGGTACTCTGGAGGACTGCGCCTCAGTGTGGACTGTGCAAACAAGTCAGAGAGTGACCTCAACATTGACATAGCCTTTGCCTACCCCTTCAGGTAACCCGGTTTGGTTCGTGGCGGTTTGTTTGCAGGGAGGCAGGCATTTGGGGGCTGGTGCAAAGCCCACTTCCAATGGGGTTTCCCATCACTTATAGCAGCTTTTGATTAAGGGGGCTCCTGAATTCTCCTCACAGTGTTGTTTAGGCTCTGGGTGTGCAGGTGGAATGGCTTTATCTAGACCTGGTGTGGATGGGGCTGGGGGAACTGCTGGGAAATGGGAGCTCAGCGAAGAAGAGAGCAGTTGTGAGCATACAGAGCCCCATAAAGGCCAGGACAGCTCAGGCAGTGGAAAAAACAGGCAGGAAGAGCAAAAACCCATTGGCCCAAGAAGAAAATGGGGATAAAGTATCCATTAACTGTTGTGTAGCTGTTAACTAGGCAGGGAACGATGGAGGATTTCCAACCACTGGAGTAGCAAGAGTCTGGAAGAGCTACTCCATGAGGAAGGGAAAGCAATAGACAGAAGTTTGAACCATAATTTTGAAATGCTTTTGGAAATTCTACAATTCTACTAATTGCCTGTCATGCATCTCTTGGTGCCTGCATACTTTAAAGCTTGGAACCTAGTGACTTAGGAAAACAGATTTCATGTTGTTTAAGTGTGTCTGAAAGCTGTAGTGAGGTTAAATATATATATATATATATATATATATATATAAAATGTTCACATCGTTTAGGATCCTGCTTCAAAAGAATAGCTAGAGTCTTCTGTTTTTAAAGATGTCAAGTCCACTCTAAAAACCTTTCACTTCTGTATAAGTGATTTCTTTAAGGAATTGAGATGATTAAGAAAAGAAAACATAATCCAATCTCAAGTCTAGTACACTGTGACTCTAAAATTATTTTGCTTCCTTGGGAAATCACATACTGGTTTGCTTATGATTGCTATGCACAGACCAGATGTAATATCATCTACTTCTTTGACATATTCTCAAATACGGCAACTTCCAAATATTGGAAACTGAATTTGATTCCTTGAACTGTTGTTCTTCCTTGACACACATTTATTAGTCTAAAGAGGCACATTTCCTGGTATTACAAATGTTTATTTTTTTGTCTTGAATTTGTCTGCTTTTTCTTTCATTTCTGCTTAGTATGCATGAGAGAGATCCTGAAAATTGAGTTATGTGAATTTGTAATGTGATTCACTTCCAAATAGGTCACTTCTCCAGCATTCATTACAGAATACACCCTACAGTAAAGTGCTTTTAGTTTGCGTGATTATAAAATAGTACTTTATGTAAAAAGTTAATAAAATGAAGTCGCCAGCAAGTATCTCCTGGTCGACCATTGCTTCTAAGAAGGAAGTGGCTGGATCTGCAGTTTCCAGCAGTCTTGCTTATTAGAAAACTGGAAATAATTGCTGGATAATTGTAGCATTCCATCATGTTGGAAAGATGATGCAAAACTGAGTCTGTTTGCAGAAGGGATCCAGCTGAGGCTGTGGCTGGTCTGTGAACTGTCCGCGTGGCTCCCAGCTGTGGCGGGGTGTGTGGTGTGTACAGTGGGGTGGATGACCACATGGTGTAAACGTACCTGTAATTTTCAGGTGAGAAGGGAAATGACACGTAACCAGCTGGTATTTTGGGGAGCAGCATGAATATACTCGGGTTTTGTGCCATTTGGAACTTTGCATGCAAACCTGAGGCACATGCAAAAAGTGTGCAAAGATGCACAGACTACGTGGGGTAGCAGATGTGTGGCTGGAAAATCTGGCCCGGTGCTACCTGTGGAACTTGGTGTCACTTTACTGTTTTACCTTAAAATTCCTTTGACTTCCTCTGGAATTTGCTCTTTCTGTGTTTCTCCCGTGCTTCTTCCACAGAGTGGAGAGGGGATGCTCTAAAAAGAGTGAGGTTAATTAGGAAAGGTAACATCTCACATTAGAGCAGTTGATACCCTTGGACAAAGCAGACACATTTTAAATTCAAGCCCCCTCATCAAGACTGTGATCCTGAAGCTCCTCTGCCTGCATGGGCATGTAGGCTTTGTGTAGGTAGGGTGAATTTGCCACCAGCTCTCTCGCATCCAGGGCCGAACGAGTCCATGTTCACATGGCAGTTTCCTTTCAAATGCCTTCAGTGTTCTGATTATTGGCTGACAGCTGGGGGAGGTGTAGGTGGAAGGAGAGATGCTGCTGACACCGCGGTGCTGTTGTGGCTGTCAGCAGTGACACTGAAGCAGCTGAATACCTGTGCGCTGCTTTTTGAGCTGTGCCTTCCAGCATGACTTGAAGAAAGCTGTGGTACTGCCTGCGTTCATTCCTGTTACTGTGAGCTCGAGCTTTTCATTTCTAGAAGTCGAACTGCTAGACCTTGGCTAGTAGATGACTAAGTGTCAAGAGCTTTAAGCAAGTAAACAAAATTTTAAGCCTCAACAGGACAGCTTGGCAAAGCAAGGAGACTTGGATGCTTTGGAAACGAGATTGAAGGAGCCTGAAAGTGTTCCCATTAAAGCAAGATCAGACAGGGGAAGGGAGTTTTCCAGACTGAAAGGGGAGGCATATCACTTGTAACCATATGCTTCTGGGGTCCATCGCCTTAGAAAAAGAAAGGGAGGATGCAGGAGGGCAAAACCAGTGCTGATGGGGTTGGGGGATGTGTGATTACAACATACTAACTGCCAAGCTGGCTTCAAACCAGTGATTCATGTAGCCCCAGGCCTGTCCTGAATGTACCGAAGAAGCATTGCATGCCCCAGCAGGTAGCTCCAGATGCTTCTGCAAACCAAGGGCTGTCTCCAGACCCTCTTTTTTTCAACTTCAACCTAAAAGTTGTAAGAGTCTCCGGCAAACAATGTAAATGAATTCAAGAGAAATTATTAGTTCCAGCAAACAGGGAGTTTTGATGGGTAGAGTTAAAAAATCAAGAAGTAATATTAGTTTAAAATTATAGTAAGATGATAGTTGTGCTTGGCTCCTGCATCATATTATTGCCGCTATAACTCTGGGAACAGGGACTTGCGGAGCACCAAGGAAACCCCCTGCGTAAGGTGGTTGCTACTTATTTCTGCCAGAATCACATTCTCTTTCCAGTTTAATTCTGGACCTGGATTCATTTGCCCTTTGAAAGTGGAAACATGAGGAAGTACAGATAAGTACATTAATTACTCTCTAATGGTCTCCTCTAGTGATCTGAAGTGATGCTTATGCATAGCTGGGAGAAGCAATCCCTTCAGAGAAAAGCCCGCGTGGTGGGTACCTCCGCGGGGCTGTTGTGTGGCAGGAGCGTGCAGAGGCAGAGACATTCCCTGTTGTAGGGGTACCCTGTGCCAGGGTTCATGCTACTGTGGTGCGCTAACCACAGAGAAGTCTCTCCAGCATCGCTGCTGAGTACTTAAACCTGAATCTGGCTCCACCGTCTCTCCTGGAATAGAAGGGGAGGTGGATGCTTTTCTATCTGCAACTACAATTCATTTAAGCTTCCTGCAACCCACATCCATGACCCTGTAGTCACGCTGTAATATGCAAAGAAACCTGTAGTCCAAACCCTAATACCCCCCAGCAGTGCCTCCTGGAGCTCTGCCACACTTTTCTGGGTATCCTCACAGACTCCTCCATGTCCAAGCTGATATTCCTAAGGCCATTTCAAATAGTCACCCGAAGTTTTCTCTCATTTCTTCTGTCTGATTCTAGTTTTATCACAAAGGATTTCTTTACCTCTTCATGCTTTAAAACACAAATCAGTCTTTCTTCTGGATACCTGTGCATGCATTTCAAAAGTTTTACAAGTTCAAATACGGAAAAATTTTCTCTGGCCCCACGCTAGCAGTTTTTCTCAGCATTAGGATATGTGCTTGGTACAGTATCTATTGCAAATTTGGCACGCATCAGGTTGTTCATCAGCTGGACCCTCACCCCATGATTCAAGTGGGGGGAAAAAAAATCAGCATCTTGGAATTATTTGTTACTTTCACAGTCCATCACCCTTTCAGATTGGATTTGTCACTCATCCAAGTGCCCTGAGGCAATATCTTTTTCTGCAATAAGGGTCCTGGTGAAGGTCCTATTTGTTTATTTTTATTATTTTCTTCTGATCCCAGCAACATTTTTATCATGTACTTTGCTATTCATTGTTTTTAACTTTGATAGCAAGTGGTTGACTAGTATACCTACTGTGCACATCTTTGTTGCTGGTATTTGTTGTTTTAAGGTGCTTTTTAACAATCCTTGTAAAAGCAAATTGGTTTGGTTGCCAGCTCACTTTTCAGACTTATCAAGTCTGTACTGAAGATTTTTTGCTACTTAATGTTCATGTCAGAAACAGTGTTTTTCTTGTAATTGGCAGAGTTGCACTGAAATGTTTGGGCTTCTTCAGCTACTGATTTAAATGAAACTTTGCGTAGCAGAAGCGCTCTCACAATGCTGTGCAGGCAGGCAGCACACTGCCAGCCAGAGATGATAATATCATCACCTGCTGCTTTGTGGTTATCTCACTGGCAAATCCTCTCTGGACGGAGGGAGGAATGCCTTGCTCAGACCCTGGCTGCAGGGTGATGCTGCACAGGACCTGTGGCAGGGTGAGAACTGGAGTGGAGAGGTTGGGCTGCACTGGGCTGCAGTGCGATGGCGAGGGGGCAGCGTTCCAATACGATCCGGTAAGTCTTGAGACAGATCCCAAACTAAAATCTTTTAGCCTTTAGCTTTTGGAGGTGCTTTAGCCCAGCCTACATATGGAGGGTATTCCCAAGTTAAATGCTGCATGGGAATTCATTTGGAGTGTATCTTGCCTTTTCCTACGACATTCATCCCACAAGCTACTTGGAAAATATTGGCCCAGAGGATTCTGTGATTATATTTTAAAAACAGTCTCACCTAAGCCAATGGTTAAGGTAAGTACGTGCATAGGTGTTAGGAGGATGAGCCATAGTTACTAGTGGGGCAGAATAGAAAGTTCCCGGTGATGTGGGCTCCTGATGGAAGAATATGGCTGTGCACATCTTTGTATCAGAGCAGTGAGCAAAACAAATGCTGTTTTCCATTTTATTTTAAATCAACT